AGCCTGGTCGTCCCCGGGGCGGCGTCGGGGGCTTGGGGCGTTTGAGCGCCATGGCCGCGGTGGGATCTGTCTGGTTGTGCCCCTCCAGGTCTGCTGTCGAGCTTCTCCTGCTCCCCGGAATGCTCCGCAGGTGACCCAGTGTCTACGCGTTTCTCGCAGGACAAATTCTCACCTCTCTCACATGAGTAAGTGCTGCCCGGCACGCGTACACGCGATGGGGATTCCTTAGGAACAGTCAGTAATGTCTAATTTTACCCCAAGTCTTGTTTTACTTGGTCCCTTAGCAAGGCTGAGGTCAGTTATGCCTTTGGAGAAGCACCACGAAGGTGAAGTAGGTTTGGAGGCATCTCGAGTGCTCCCCTGAAGAGCCAGTGGGACCTGCCATGCTTGGCCTTGTCCCCTTAGGGGAAACGCTTCCTCAACCACCTCTTCAGGACCACGAAATGGCAGCGTGCCCTCTCTCCCGCCAAGGTTACCCCTTTCAGTGCTTAGCTATTGCTTATAGTTGGAATTTTTCCTTAATAGCTGACCTAAATCTCTCCCGTGGAAACTAAGCTGATTATTATCTTGCGCTGTGCAGGGTGGACAAGCGCAGTGGCGGGTTCTTCTCTTGATAACGCCCGAGAAGACGTCCCCATGCGTCCGTTCGTGGCCCTCCCGAACGTGAGCGAGGCCACTTCTCATGTTTCTCTGCTCCTTGGACTCTTTCGGTCGTGTCCCCTCGTCCTCGAGGTGTTAAACTCGGAACGAGCCCCAGTGGAGACCTCCTCGCCCAGGAGGTTGGGGTAACCATCTCCCCCGTGTGTGGTGTCCTTCTCACAACCTTCCAGAGTGACACTGCCTCGTTTGGCCTCACTGTCACGTTCCATGTCGCTTGCAACACCGACACCATCAACTTTTGATCTGCTGAAAGAAAGATTGCTTTTGCGGCCCAGGCAATTATTCCTCAAGTGGTGTATTCAGGCATTTTATTTGTTTATTTACTGCGTAAGATATTTTGCACTTGTTGGTTTGAGAAGAAACTCTTTATCTTGATGATCATCATCATCTCATAACTCTATCCAGTTATTCTTCCACTCAGCCTCCTCCAAATTTGGGATCATCCATGAAGAGTTAATTAAAATAGCAAGCAGTGCCAGTTGTACTGTGATCGAACCCTTGCAGTTTAACTCTCTGAACCCCTTTCTTGTTATTTTTCAGCTCCCTTACTAAAGCTGCAGCTCTTTCTGTGCTGTGACCCTGCAGTTGAGTCAGATCCTACGGAGAATCGAAGTGAGGGCACCTTGAATTCCTTTGAATTAGATTGAATTGGATTTGAATTGGATTCTGTGTGCAGAGAAGGTTTACACACAGCTCCAAACCTGGAAATGTGCTTAAAATCCTGAGCCCTGCTGAAGTCTCATTGTATTCTGTGGAGCTTTAGTATGTCCTAGGAACCACAGGAAGACTATGGAAAAGGAGGTTTCCCAGCTGTTTTTGCATTCCGCCTTTGGAAACTATTATAGTAATTAGGGATATCTGACAAAGCTTCTTTTGAGACATCAGGCAAGCCATAACTTGCTTTTTAAAAATTCAGAAATTTGCATTTTCTGCGTTTTTACTTCTTGCCTGTAAATGGCAAATTCTATTCTACATGACGTTATAAAAATGAGTACTCTGAAGCAATATCAGACATTATTAGTCCATAAGAAATATATTAGTCCGTAAGAACAATATATTGGTCCATGAGAAATAAAATTGTCTCCAGAATGACTGCAGGCAGTTGGAAAATGCATGTGTGTTTACGTAGGTGTGGGTCTGCAGGCATAGTTGCCTCTAGCTGCTTTCATACCTTCAAACAGTAGTGGGCAGCAGGGTGATCTGTGGGCCCTGACAAAGGGCACTGAATCAATTAGGAAAATAAAATGCAGATCACTGCATTAAAGCATGATAAGTTGTTCCTGTGCTATCACAGCATAGCTGATACCTTTAGTAGATGGTTCTATGACCCTTCTCTGTTCTAGGTTCCTGTAAACTCTTGCTTTCTGGAGAGACATTAGGGAAAGGTTGTGGACCCCCTCCATTCACTGTCTTTCTCCTCTCTTTCTCTGTATTTTCCTGTATATCTGCTTAAATTCTAACCTTTTTCAAAGTTGTGTTTAGTCTTTTAAGAGATCTTTCTGGTATAACTGTCCAAATACCTGTCCAAACACCTACTTAGTATAGGATTAGATTTATAGGTGATGCATTAATGCTTTGTTACACAAGTCAGGGATTACTTTCTCTGACCACAAACAGCTCATGAGACAGAGGGGATAGTTTTAACATTCTTAATGCTAAAAGAATCATGCTTAACACAAAGAAAATATGCTGAGATCCAGCAACCTGTCAATTGTGATGAAAACGAGCAGATTTAATCCAAGTCCAGAGAAATTCTTACTTTTAAATGGCATTTGACAGTAGAAAACTTATAAACTCCAACCCTGGAGTTTTTCATTTAAGCGTAGCTGAACATTATATGTACATCGACCTAAATAACCAATATGTACATTGAGCTAAATAACCAAGTATATTTTTTCTCTAGAGCAATATGTTACAATTTTTTCTTTCCTTTCCAATTTGTTTAGATGAGGAACGCTAGAAACCATGGAACTGGGGAAGGCCAAGCTTCTGAGGACCGGCCTCAATGCCCTGTACCAAGCCATCCACCCCGTGCACGGCATTGCCTGGACCGACGGGAAGCAGGTGATCCTGACCTCCCTGCTCCTGCAGGACGGAGAGCCCAGGTTTGGGGACTCGAGCGTCGTCGGGCAGTTCGAGCACGTCCACGGGCTCTACTGGGGCCCGTGTCCTGCCGATGCCCCGGCCCTGCTCGCCGTTCAACATAAAAAGCACATCACAGTTTGGCAGCTCTCTTTGAATGCCGCCGAAAGGAACAAGCTGCTGGTTTCCCAGGTGTGTGACATCGGGGAGCCCTTCCCGGTGCTCCCCCAAGGCTGCGTGTGGCACCCGAAGCAGGAGGTGCTGGCCGTGCTGACCACGCGCGACGCCTCCGTCCTGCCCTCCGTGCATCAGAACAGCGCCAGGGTCAAAGCCGACATCAAGGGCAGCGGCCTCATCCACTGCGCGTGCTGGACGAAGGAGGGCAGCCGCCTCGTGGTCGGCGTGGGCAGCGCCCTCCACTCGTACATCTGGGACAGCGCTCAGCAGACCCTGACCGCCTGCTCCTTCTGCCCCATCTTCGACGTGGGGGGCTACATCTGCGCCGTGGAAGCGACTCTGAATTTCCAAGTCGCTGTCGCCACGGAGCTTCCCCTGGACAAGATCTGCGGCTTGAACGCCGGCGTCGCCTTTGAGGTCCCGGCCAGCGTCGAGACGGACTCCTCTCCCTCGCAGTCCACCCTGTGCGGCGAGGAAGAGTGTTCCGTGGATGGGGGGAAGAAATCCCAGGACTCGGAGAAGCCTTCGCCTGTTGTCTCCTCTCCTGTGGATCTCACTCACATCCTTTCCAGCAAGCAGGGCACTGACTCTAGCCCACTCCTTCACCTGAGGCCCAAGGACTACCTGACGGGAAGCGGCCAGGACTCCTCACATCTCATCCTGGTGGCCTTTGAAAGGAAGGTGACCTCTACCAAAAAAGTTAGCATCCCAGGCATTCTCGTTCCTGATATCATGGCGTTTGACCCCAAAACTCAAACTATATCTGTTGCGTCCAATACTTGTAACACTGTTTTGGTCTATTCGCTGACTTCATCCAATTTACCCAATATTCAACATATTCAGCTGGAGAAAAACGAAAAACCAAAGGGCTTGTGCTTCTTGACCAATAAGTTATTGTTGATAATGGTGGGAAGACAAAAATTCTCCGACCCTGCATTTCTTCCATCTTCAAGATCAGACAAGTACATGATCCGCCTCATAGTTAAGGAACTCATGTTTGAAGCGTGTCCTTCAAGGCCTGCAGCAGCTAATGCAAGCTCTGCTTTCAGTCTTCTTTCAAACATATCTCAAGACCTTTCTGCAGACCCTCACCCTCTAAACTGCGGGCTCCTCATCCCAGGCCGTGCTGCTGGGCAGTCCCCTCCGAGCAGAAAAAAGCTCATTGAGGAAATTAAGAGCCCCACGTACGAGCAGAGCCTGTTGAATGTGAGTGACCTCAAAGAAAAAAAGATTGCAGTGGATTTTCCACCAGCTGTTGAGGCTCTGGATGCTGAACCAGGGAACCGCTCCGTGGCTCTGTCTGCCACCCCCCTGGCATTTTGCAACAAGCCAACATCTCCAAAAAGGCAGACGGATGCAGCTCCCAAAATACCCAACTCCTTTAAGAATAACTTGCTGTTAAATGAAAAGGAAGCAAGTTATTTTTCGAAAAACGTAGAAAAACTGTCTAGTAACTTCACAGAGTTACAGCACCATCTCTCTGAACTAACTGAGCTGCTAAAATCTGGGAAGAAAAGTATTCCAGTCTACCCGTCTTCTCAGGAACCCTCTTTTATTTACATCACTTATCAGGTAATTTTAATATGGGAAGCTTTAATGATAAGACCTGTTGATGGACATTTTCCATATCCTTCCTATAATTGTATTTCAGTCTCTTTTTACAGTTCTTTTAGAACTGAGTGTTATTAGGTTTTTTTTGAGAGGATAATTTGGATAATGCTTGTAATCTTTAAATTATTGTTGCTTCATATGGTTGCTGTAGCAGTGCTTTCCTTTGTACAGACCTATCTATAGCAGTGATGAAATCAGAGTATTTTTAAGGAAAAAAAGAGTTATCATAAAAGTTATCAGAACAGAAACAGAAATCTCGCTGATCAATATTGAAAGGACCATCTGAGCAGGAAAAAGACCCTTTAGGACACAACAAATAATTCAATTAACACAGCTTTAAAATAACTAAAAAATCATATTTGATATGAAATGCATTAATTTCGAATTAGCTTTTTTCCTTGCCTAAAAGAAGGTACCACAAAATCTCATGCTAGAAGGTGCAAATTTTCTGATTGTCCAAGCATGGCACATACTGTGCCAGGCCTCTTTTAGAGGTGACATTAATTTATCACTAGTCAGTATTCAAAGACTTACCTTATCTTTTCAACAAACAATTATTTTGTGGCTTTATTATTGCTAAAAATAATAGCTGTGTTCATAACATTGACCTCTCATGTTCTAGGCTATATGCCCTCAGTGCCTTAGCTGTTCCCCATTGTAAATATTTAATAATTCTAATAACTCTATTTTTTCTGGCTTATCAGTGGGACGTTACTCTAAAAAGTGGCCATAGCAAAGTGAAGATTTAATTCATGGGTCTGTTCTCTCATTTATCTGTGCTGTTTATTTGGAAGTCCACTTTATATTCGAGGTAGCTCAAGACTTTATTACGTTTTTATACTTGGTTCCTTTTTCCAGATAGTCTGTAAGGAAGGGATTCACATTCCAGCCTGTGGTCACGTTCCAAGAGCTAGGAGAGTCACACTTGTGTGAGGATGTTTCACAAATGAAAGTGAGACTACCATTTAATGTACTTTGGATTTTCATCCATCGTTCATCCCTTGAAAATGGGTTTTGATCACTAATGATCTGTGTTTTTTTTTTAAAAAAAAATACTTTCAAATTATGAGTGAGGTTGGGAATTCCGGCAGGAAATGCCGTCTTTTAATCGTTGCCTGGGTATATTTGACATGGAAATCATTAATGGGCAAAAAAGATCCTCATCTTGTGCACTTCAAATAAACTGGACCCTGAACGTGCCCAAATTATTAGCCGTACTTTACAAATCAATGAGGAAGCCCTGAATGAGCAGCCTCTCTGCTCGGGCTGCAGCACGAGGACGGGGGCTGATGTGGGGGTCTCCAAGCTCCTCTCCAGCCAGACTCCTGTGCAAGGACGGGTCCATCCACAGCACGGAAGCAGAAACAGCACTGAATATACGGCCATGCTATATTTATATATGATATGTATTTATATATATTAAGGCTCTTCTGGGAAGAGACGTGATTGTGTGAATTTTATCCTGCACCAGAAAAAGAGCTTGTAGTTTTTATAACCATTAATTTTCTGCATATTTCTCAAGTGCTTTGCTCTGGCACATGGGAGAGAAAATGGAAACAGCATCGTTAGAGATGAAAGTTTTATGCAGTGATGATCAAAGGTGTGATAGATCAGTGCTTCTCATATGTTAATCTGCTTCTTGTTCCATGCGTGTAACTTGGAACAAGGATAAAAGCTTGGATAAAAGTTCTCACTCCTTCATCATATGTTAATCTGCTTCTTGTTCCATTCGTATAACTTGGAACAAGGATAAAAGTTCTCACTTCTTCGTAATATGTGGATCAGAGAGGAGGGAAGACAGAAATTTCCTGCTCCACAGGCTCCCCAGTGAGATGTTCCTGCCAGGGGAGAGGATGAGGCTGGATTACACTGTGGATGTGGCTCATTTCCATCAGCAGCCCTGTGTGATTTCTTCTGTGCTTCTCATAGATGTTGGCAAATCATCTCTTTTTGAGAGCTGGGACTTCCAAGTATGAATCTTGAAAATTAGTACCCATGAAGCATTTGATTTTTTGTAAACGACATAGCTGAAGGCATAATTGTGATCCTGTTATCATGAATGTCATTTTGATATATTTACTTAAACACGCATCCCTCCATCTAATATTTCTTCCTTGAATTTCCAGAAGCAGCTTTCCAGAAGCGGTTCGGATGAAAGGCGAGCTGTTATTCTGTGTGATGGAAAACTCTGTCTGAACGTAGTCCAGCAAATATTCAACCTCTCCCTTATAGAAATGCAGCACGGTAGGTTGTAACTATCCAAAAATACACACATTTTAAAATGCATATGGTATTCTCAGGCTGCAATAGCAATGTGCATAATGTGGAACAAAACAAGGAACAAATAATTAAAGGGTATTTGGTAAAATTTGCTTGTTTGTTTTATCATGTAAAAATGCTTCTCCATGGTGATACAGTTTCTACTATACAAAGAGGTATAGAAATCACATCCCAAGATTGTATGGGATACGATCTCCCACTGCTACAAATATTCTCTGTGCTGCAGTCCAGCAACTGCAGCTTTGCCATCTGCCCACGGGCAGATTCCTGAGCAACTGTTGCAGACTTCAGCATGTTCTTCTTACAATTATAAAAGTGTTGTTTTTCTGAAAATAGTTTATTAAAATGTTTAATATTGCAATACCGAGATGAAACTGCAGTATAACCACTCACAAGTGCATCCTGGAAAGGTCCTTAGCACTGTCTTACAGGAGTTTTTTGCAAGAGCCTTGCTAATGACATTTTAAACTAAAAAGCGTTCTAATATAATTATGAATGTGAATATTAGGAGATAAGTAGGCACATCAATATATTTTTTTACATTCCTAAATTATATTGATTTAGAAGTTTTGTCCAAATACGATATTAAGCTGTAAGATTAAAGGTCATGTGCTTTTAAACTACAATCTTCTCATGACCTTACTTGGAACGTGAAGTTACATGACGTAGCACCATGAAACAGCTGGGAACGTTTCCCTGGCCCCCCCACAAGCTCTTTTTGTTTGTTTGCTTGTTTTAACTTCACCCCTTTAAAATATGCAAGTATGAAAATATTCTGGTTTACATGAATTGGTAAATGTTGATGCTTCTAATTCTCTAAGCAATGTTAAAATGTAAAAATAAGGCTAATACTAAGGTAAAATCAGGTAGAAAATAAACCACAGAGATCGGGCTTGTACAGAGTGGCACAGTATTTCTTCCTTAAGAAGAACAGAAGCTGTGTGAATAGTTCTCATAAGCTAAATTGTCTCTAAACGATTTCTAATTTGTTCCTATTATATGTTTTTGACCTTTATTTTAATAAAGGCCTGCTTTGTGCAGTATCTGCACAGCTTAAGAGCTGTAAAATAGCCCATGAATACCTGACACACACGTCTGATGCTTCTGAATCCTGCTGCTCAGGCTTTCATTTCTGTTCTTGTTTGAAATGCACATTTCCTGCAGCCCCATCTCCTGAGGGGAAGACTGCCCTGACAGCTGCTCTGCATTTTTGTCCACACACACCTTTGTGTTTGAGATCCTGCATCCTGGGTCTCCCCAGACGTTTTGCTACAAAAACCCTTTGACCATACAGGTGTATTTAATTTTAAAGAAATATACTTTATGCCTTAAATATACCCAATTACAGGAGAAAAATAAGAATGTTTGCTTGTTTTCACAGGTCCCTCTTGGATTGTTCTCACGGCAGACAGTGAGGGCTTCATTCCCTTGACGTTTGCATCCCTGCAGGAGATAGTCATAAGAGATGGCAGCACGAAAGGCTATAGTGTCCGCTCCTCCAAAACGCTGGACATCATCAGCTCTACAGAAGGGCACAGACCCTCTTCCTCTGAGAGCCTGGACATCACCAGCTCCCTCGAGGTCCTCAGAGACTCTTCTGGCAAGAGCTTAAGCAGCAGCAGCAGCTCTTCGGAACAGCCAAGCAGTAAAATGTAATTTTGAACAGCAATTTTGTAATGTAATGACTATCTTTTCTGATAGGAGAGCTTTAAACGCACTGTATAGATTGGAATTTTTCCACAATGGTCTGTCTCAAACTTTCTTGAATTTCCATCATAGTTTGTAAATCCTGTCATTATTTATTTGGTTACTCTTGGAACCACTAGCCTTTTCTATTTGAACTGAGGAGTGTTTTAAATCTACCTCTTGCTGCACATCACAGACCAGGGCTTTGTATCTTCCAACCACTTTTTGTAGGAGTTGAATAGAACATGCAAGTTCTTACAGGTTTGAGACTTAAAGTTTCCATCTTGGTCTTTAATACGTTGCTGTTTGTAGACAATAGCATGCTTGTATAATAAAGAAATCACTGAACACACTATTTTTTTCCCATTTCCTCACTCTGTTAAATCTTGTAATGTTTTGTTGTGCTTATTCAGAAGCCTCCAGCTGCTCTGTCTGCAGAAGTGCACGTATTTTTGCACTGATGTTGGCTAAGGGCATAAGCACCAACTTAGATATATGGAATTTGGGCCAAAGTGTGATCATGTTGAGGTCCTATATACTGTGTAGGAGCAAGGCCCTTTGCCTGCCCAGTTGGTCCCTGTGTGCTTAACTTTTGGGTACAGTTTGGGAATTTGCTGTCGCAATAGTCCCAATAGTCTTAAAATGTCATTAAAATTTATTACAGCTGAACACTTGTAAGCAGTTGCTAGTTAATATTTTTGATTTAATAAACATTTTTTTGTTCTCATGTAGACCTTTTGCCCTCTTATCTTTGAAACAGTACCACACTATTAGTAACATTGACTTCCATACATCTCTTTTAACTTTGATAGGATGGAAGTCATAAACAGAGAAGTTTCAACTGTAGGGCTTCCAGTTCAGAGGCTGCCTGAAGAAAATGCTTCATAGGCTCTTTCATATTGAGAGAGAGAAAATTCAGAGGCTACAAACACAAGTTGTGGAGCAGAGACATGGAAGTAGTAGAGTCCATGGCTAAGGCTACTACTACCTTGTCATGGCAGCACGGGTAGGGTAGGTAGGTTTTTTATTTCAGTTTTACTGTAATATAGATTATTAATAATCCTTCAAATAATAGTTTTTGTGAAGCATGTAGACTGCAGCAAGTGTAGAAAGTATTATTTGTAAATAGGTTTAGTTGGTTAAGCAGCTTCCAACCAGTTCGTCATCAAAATGTTTGGACAAGATTACGTCGGAAAGAAAAACACACAAAAAACATCGAAGATGATGATGAACACTTTTTTTTAGGCAACATCTCTCAAAAGAACAAGGTAACTAGAGTACAATGCTGACTAGAACTGTTATTTATGTGCTTCAATTATTTCCCTTCAGGACTGCATACAAGATTTGTTCTGTTAGGCTACTTTATTATCATTATCTAATATATACTCCTGGGGAGTCTCTCGTTCTGCCACATGGAAAATGCAGTGTTTCCTGCACTCACA